GTTCTATCCATGTACAAAACAAACAGGATATGAGACAGGACGCAGCCTTGGCGGAGACCAGTGCGAACGTTGAATGGTTTCGACTTAACGCGATTTACTCTGATGCAGACCTACTATCAGCATATAATGGTTGGATAGCCCGTTGCAATTTGTGATCAATCGCATCTGTTCGTAGGCACGCCCATAGATTGTTGGGCAGGATCCGGTCATCGATTTTCTCTGGGATGACAAAGTTATGACATGTACACCGATTCGGCGAACTCCTACGATTTCAACATCTCAACATTCTTACATAGATTGAATATTTCATCAGAAGTGCCTCAGTCAGAGCTGAAGACAACTGCTCTTGTATTTTAAAGTCTGTTGTTCCGCGACACCTGTTCTAGCACCTTTGCATAGACTTTACCTGAAAATCTCAATAAGGTGATGTCGCTATAATTGTAGCACTCTCCATGGTCTTCTTTCTTAAAGAGGGTGCTAGAACCCCCGTTTTCCTGTCCGTTGGTGTCTTTCCCGTAGCCACTGTAGTTTGACAGGCACGTGTCAGCCAACATATGCCCTTGTTAGCCTAATTATTTAAGGATTTCATGGCAGATTTCACTGGCCTAGCCCTGTCTTTGTCGCAATGGCTCGGGAAAGCTGACCCGTAACTGACTCATAACCTTGTTGACCATTCCCATTCGTTAGTGGATCTTTTTCTCCTATTTTCCATCATCAATAAACACTGTCCCGAGGTACGTGTTCTTTATTACATTTTTACTCCTCTTTCACTTACTTGCAGAATGCAACAGGCGGAAGAAAGAGAAAGCGTTAGCTTTTGGTTTTAGACACGTTCACGCGCATACCGGCTTCATCTCACTCTGCTGCGAACCTTCCCACAGAGCCCTGGAGGTCAGTCTCAGTAGATGCAAACAAAATAAGATATTCTGCAGGCAGCAATCTTTTTGTTTCTACGCGTCCCTCCTACGCTGATGCAACAGTCGTGTTGGATAAACCTGACCGGGTATCGATGTACAGCAAACAGGATGCATAACCCACACTTGGAGGAGACCAGTGCAAACGCTGAAACCTCTCGGCCTAGCACCACATACTCTGACAAATCAGCTGCTATCAGCACTTAGTGACTGGATGGTTTGTAGCAACTGACCACCGATCCCACGCGTCTGCAGGCATTTTGATGACCTTATGCAAGTGACCCAGTCATTGGATGTTTGAGCTCAACAAAAAAATGTGCACCGGGTTAACGAGCTCTCACGATTTCACAACAATCAAGCATAAGACGAAGGTCTGGTTAGAAGTGCTTCGTCCTAACCTGCAGCCATGCTGCTCTTCTTTGATCTTGCAATTATCAATTCTGTGTCCCTCGTTTGCGTGGTCGTTTCCCCTGGAGGCTCAGTAAAGTGATGCCTTGATAACTGGAGCCTTTCATACGACCTCCCTTCTTGAATAGAGCATTGCCATCTCAATTAAACATCCCACAAATGTCTTACTCTTGCTCACTGCAGATTGACTGACATCTAATACCCGCAATATACGTCGTTCGCCTAAACCTTTAAAGCATTTCTCGATGGACTTTATCGAGTTCATCAGCCCTGTCAGCCCATAAGCTTTTCTGTGCTTCTGTGATTTCATCTGCAAGTCTTTCATCAAGACTGTTATCGTTGCCTGATGTTTTTAGGACAAGTCTCCCTACGGTTGTCGAGGGCTGAAGAGTTATTAAACGTATTTTTTTAATCGCTAAAATGTTTGTTCTTCCATGGTACAAAGGCGTCAGAATTTGTCCTTCTGGAGACTTTAACTGTCCTTCTTTACACCTCGGAGCCGGCGAATGGTCTATCGTTTGAAGCTTGGATACCTTGTTTGCCGTGAAGAAGTTCCACTCCAACACCTCACAGAACTTCTCACAGAAATCAGTTTTGGCTCTTGGCACTGCTTTGAGTGCCTAGACATATCGCACGGGATTAGAAGGCTCTTTGTTCCCAAGTCATTTCTTGAACGCTGCATGCTTCTCTTTAACTGCCAGTTGTACCTCTCGTGTTCACCATGAAGATCTTTTCTGACCTCTAGGCGGCAGGCCAACCCGTTTATATCCGCAGCATTAGGCGGCAGCGTCGAGTATGCCGCACTTAAAGAACTGCCACTCGGTTTCAACTTCAGTTGTCATCATTGGGATCTGTTCACACCGTCATACAGTGTTGTTTACAAATTTCGCTCTCGTGTTCAATGAAGATAATGTTTCCCATTTGGTCCTGTGGCTGTTTCTACTTCCTGGTTGTTGCATAATACTTCATTTGTCTTAACAGAATGGTGATCAGTTGCCAGCTCTGCGTCTCTCTTAACGTGAACACCCATTATAGAACGTCGTAAGTCAGAATACGGAGATCAATTCTACCATCGACTGTGGACGAGCTTCACTAAACCAGATATACTAATGCACGCTTCGATGCTAGCAGAAGGATTTCTTTGCAGGCAATGCTTTGTTTGCACAAAAACGCATCGACTTATTGCTGTTATGTGGGATATATCCTGACCGTAGCAAAATGGTTCGAATCTTTACAAAGTTCGTCATGTCGGCGAAGAAAGAGAAAAGCATAAAAATCAGGTACATGTAAATCAGTTTTTAACTCCCCTGGTCAGAAATTGTGTTTGGATTTAGGGCAAAATGCCGATACCTTTCAAAGTACCTGTTTGATCTGTCAAGAACGTGTATTACCTGCTCTCCTATTGATAGATTTTTGACTGGGACAGCAGACGCAAGCTAAGGCGGACAAAGTCACAGCTGTGGATGTTTGATTGAGTTACACTTTGCAAATTACCTGAAAATCTTGTCTATTATTTACTGTTGGCAAATTTTTGATTTGTTCTTAGCACACTTGGGTAGTAGTATGGAAATGACCGGCCAGGAAGAGCCGTACTTCTCGTTGACCGATGCTGTGCCTTTCTATTTCCGCATCGTTTGCTTGAATTCCTTTTCTGTCCTAGTCACAACCGATGAGCTAAATTGTGCGCTATAATATGAGCAGGGAAACGTTTTCTAAGTTGTTGCCAAAACAGTGCCATGTAGTTTGGTGCATTGCGTCGGGTTTCACAAGCCGACCAATAAGAAGTAAACACAGTCAGCTGTTACCCTTCAAGTTCGGGCAACTCAGTTGCGGAATCGCATAAGTTTGTACCTGAACATTCCGAGAAAAAACTGGCATGTTATTTTGGCCAATCAAGATTTTGAGCTGTACCTGTCCTGGAGGACCCGAAAGGAGAAGCGGTCGTTGAAAGTGAAGTGATTTCTGGAGGACATGTTGACTGAATTGCTTGTCTGGTATAACAGTTAATGAAATGTACTTCAACGTGTCGAAACAGTGATGGTCCATTTCGACGGGCATCAGGGAAGCGATGGAACTGCGGAGACAGCCGACATGCAATCAAGACGTTAAGACAGGATGTGACGAGGTCCTGAACGTAGTCCGAGCCCCAGAGATAGAACTGACAGATCACTCCATCCCACTCATATTTTACAAAGACCTATCGACGTCGCATTCGAACTCAGTAAAGTGTTTTTGCGAACGTCATGTTCGGCACGGCGAGTGTGGCACTGGTCAGGTGTGCTTGCTGCCACTCTTTACTCATCAAGAAGTGTCCGACGAAATCTGGTCATGAGATAGCAATCGCTATTAAGATGGGTGGAGCTTATGACAGAGTGGCGCTCAATTGGCAGCGGCGAAAACGATTGGCATCAGCGGCGCAACCAATCACGTTACAATTCGCAGGCAAGCAACGCCTAATGCTTAATGCTGAGTGCGAGGTTCTGACCGGCGCAGGGCGCAACAGCTTGTTACAGCGCGTATCAACTCGCACCCGTTCCTCGTCGGTGACAGTGACCGAAGATGATGTGAAGCCTGGCGGACGACGTTGCACAAGTCATGGCTGCCACTGCTCCAAAAAGTAACGAGCCGAGGCAAGGTATTATTTGACCCATAGTCGCTTGTGCTCACAGTCGCCGCCTAACAGGCTGAGTTTGCTGCAGTCTGGCATTTCTTTCGGACACCGGTCGAACGTCATTAACGGTCATCGAACCTGAAGATAGCAGAAATGATTAAGTTCGAAGTTCGAAGAAAGGAAGGTCACGCAGCTGTTGCAAACAATTTGTCCTATTGTTTTTCTGTTGCAGAGGCTGTGAAATTGGATA